AGGAGAGCAAAATATAATGATACTTGAAGCATGGCCCAGGCCGACAGAAGGAACACTTGTACATTGGCGACCAATGCCGCACTTGGAAGCCCTAAGAGACTGGGAAGTTTGTCAGGCAACACGATCTACCCAGACGCTCATGGACCCTGCTAAGTAGGGACCGTACCCTCATATGGAGGGGTCCGGACCCTCAAATCCCTATAGTTTTGAGGGACCAAGGCCTGTTTGGAGCATCTGGGTAACATGATTGCCAGAAGAGCTGGATTCTTTGTGCTTGGTACACCTCTCTCTTGAAGTGGACCGCCGAAGTGAACCTTCCGGATGTACCCTCGTTTTCTGGGATGATGTTTACGATAAGGTCTCAAAATATCCTTTATAGAATAGAAAGCCAGCTAAATTCCAATATGTTATATACTAAAGTCAATTTCGTTGAATTCAGGTCTTATAACTTTACATTTGGGTGTCGGGATGATAGATGAACCCGGCTGCAGCCGTTGGGTTTCAAGGGAAGCCTGACCCGTACCGTACCGTTCATGATCTTTTATGTCGGAAGCTCGAAAGAGGCACCTTACCCGCACCAAGACCTGATGCATTGCAATTGAAACTTTTTTGAAGACAATTTCAGAGGTTTCCAATGGGCCAGGTATTTGAGATCATCTTTGCAAGATGATGAACGACGAGCGTGTGGTCAAATTTTGAACGATCTGGATGGGTCACCCACCGAGTTGGAGCCTCTGAATCATGTTCGCAGAAAGTTCTTAGCAAGCGTAGCTGAAAAGATACCTCCTACCGAGCCAAAACTGCATGGCAATGTTGTAGCTTTTACCCTTGAAGGGTTGCGTCGCTTTCAAGCAACAGCATTTACTTTGGCCTCTGCAACGTCCTCATCCAACGCCAATCAGCATGATGGAACACGTCGGCGACCAAACTACAACAACCGGAAGAGGCGGTTCTTAGCAAAAGTAGTGGAGAGAACTAAGCACCTTGTTCCAATGAGTGAAATGTGCTACTTAGTGGTTGTCAGACAGTAGGTTGTAGCTTGGACTAACTTATATTTCTGTATGATTTTTTCAACCAAGGCATGGGTCAACAGGTGCTAGCAAGTCACGGATCGAGGCGTTGTCTGAGAAAGCGTGCAGATGTGAGAGGAAGACTTGTTTCCGTCAGCTTCGTTCAATGATGGATGAGCTGTTACAGTTCTTGGCCATTTTTTGGAACTTCACGAAAGCCGTGCAAGATTCCTTTGTCTGGGGCTATGTTGAGATCGATGTTCAGTTATGAAACCGTTTCAATTGGATATGGAATTAAAGTCTAGACACTCAGGTCCATCATGTGTGTGGGGAAGCCTGTGGTGATCGCAGGGAGTGGCACCTGTTGGGCAAGAGGTTCGCACCAAAGTGCCTGGTGGCGGTCATTGGCATGGGAAACAGTAGGATGCACCGAGTGCAGCAAGGCCTTGGGGATAGAAGGCTTCGTATCTGGGGAGCTGTCACTTGTCGAACTGTTTCTGTTTGACAGCCTGAAAGGAACTTTAAAGTAATCTTTTGATCTTCGGTCGTAGCTCTGAGGCAAAAAGGAAATCTCCAGTCAAGACTCGGCAGATCCACCAGTTTCTCTTGAACCAGTATATCAAAGCAGCTGGCATGCTTCCAAACAAGTTCCTTGTCTTCTCATTGTTTTTGTTTGCCTGCAAAACCAACATTTCCATCAGAACGTTGCTACAGGTTTCAAAGAGCTGCTCGATCTCGTGTGAAGCATGGGAGAAGGCTCAGTGTGATCTTGGAAGAGCGGGCCAAAGCTGACACAGATGGCAGCTTGGACACACTAAATTGTCAAAGGAAAATGAGGCTGAATTGTATTTAGGCCTCTGGAACTTGACCTGATTCAATGATTGTTGACCTGTTGTTGAAAGAGAAGGCAAACCTGAACCTCGATGATATCAATGGCCGCGTGTCAGGCTCGGGCACGGACTCTGACCCGAACTACGACGACGAACTGGCCTTGCCAGAGGAGAGTCTCGAATCAGATGAGGAGGTACGGCTTCACATACTCGGAGTTTCAAGTTTCTTTGCGCAGCCACATGCCGGGAATGTGAACGATGAGTCATATAAAATCAATGTACTAGCATCTGTTTGCATAGCACTTCATGGGGAATGGGATCATTCCCAAACCTTCTAATTGAGGTATGTCGAGAGCAACTTTTGCAGTCGGGTGGACCAGCTCCCTACCCGATACTTACCACCCCAGCGAATCAAAATGCTCTGGCACCAAATGGGATGCACGGACTCTATATCGTGTTTTGTTGGCAGAATGTGTTTTTGCTGCGGGCTATTAAGTTGATGTTTAAATCTGAAATTGCTTGGCAGCCACAGGTATCAAACGTTTTGGCGAACGTATCGACAACACTGGGCCAACGTACTCCGGTTCTTACCGCAGACAAGTCACGGTTGCTGCGACCGTTGCGCAGACTTCAAGGAGGATTTTGCAGCAGCAAAAGATGCTTAGTCAAATCACCTACTACTCGGCTTAGGTCCATGCAGTTGCTGTTACCCGACGACAGCGGTAAAGCCAAGGACATCCAATCCAGATACCAAGTAGCAAAAGATTACAAGTCCCACATAGACCAAGTGGGCCGCGACCGCAGTTTGGAGGAGTTCATGCAGGCCTTTGCCTTTGCTTGTAATCATTGAAACCCCTTCGCAGTCACCCAAAGACCAGAATTATCAGCTTTTGTTCACGCAGACCGCATCGCCTTTGTCGAACCCGTCCCAGAATGCACCGTTGGTGATATTCTGGGCGCCTGGGCCTGGTCATTATGTCTTTTGATGCAAGTTTCTGACTGCAATTCTTTGTGTTGAATTTGCTGAAAGTTGCTGCAGTTGGGCTGGGCTGGGCTGGGCTGGGCTTGGGAATGCTTGCTGGGGTTGTTCATTGCTTGCTGCGTGATTTGAGGACGGAATGGATCAGGCGAAGTGGTGCGTGCCAAGGAATCGGCATGTTCGCGCCACAAAATCTACAGCCATGATTCCTCGGCCGCGCTTCAAGGTGCACGCCTGCTGGGTGATGGGGATATGTCTCAACATGTTCGTCATTGATCCTCGCGTGCCGAGTGATGCAAGCACCATCCTGGAGTGTGCTGTTCGTAGCATCGAGATGGCTGTTGCAGAGTGCAAACGGCGTGGGGTAGCAGCCCCTACCCAACTCATAGTGTGGGATGCTTGGGCTGAAATTGGATGGTTCATGCTCTGCTTGCCTGCTGCCAATTGCTGTTGGGTTTCGGGGCTGTTGCGAACCAAGGCTGACAACTGTGTCAGAGAAACCAAGAACAACAGCTGCCTGAGATTTTTATCATATCTGACGGCGGCCAGAAAGATGAAAGTATGTGCCCTATTGTTCTCCACAGTAGGCCACACTCACGGTCCACTGGGCCTGTCGGCTTGAAACTAGTGCTGCTTGACATTGTTTGCTTGTCCGCTTGACATTGTTTGCTTGCCTGCTTGACATCTGCTGCTAAGACCAAATTTTCGGCCTTCTGGCAACAGCAATGAAGTACTGCGATATATTGAGCGATGGTCCAGATGTTGCTCAGACAGCTGGTTGCCAGAATTGTTACGAAACAAGGTAATACAATTGGATGTGGCTGCCATTGTAAGCTTTCGCGCTGGTTGCCCTGTGAACCCAGGAAGATCGAATCTTTGCTGAACCGCATAGGGCTGAAATCCTGGATTGGACAGGATGCAACGATCAGATCCCAATTCATTTCCGGCACACGTGACTGGAAAGCATGGCTCCTCGCCTGGATTGAGAACAATGTTTTGAAGAAATTGATTATCATCAATCATGTCAATCAACCGTCAATCATTGTCATTCAGGCTTGAACGTGCACCAGTGACATTCTCTGGCGGCTTGCGAGATGATGATAGCGGAATGCACGCCTTCATATTTATGAGAAGAAGAGGCCAGTACAACCAGGTCCAGGCTGCCAGGTACACTCTACATACTCTACTTTATAGAGGGACTGCAGTGTTCGGGCTTTGTTGTTGCTTGTTCACCGCCATTTGTTTCTGAACCTGCGCCCTGAGATCTTCCGCGGAATGTGACTGTCGAAGCGACAGGGAAAGGTGCTCGATTGCCTGATCATCCTGAAGACGTGTGTATTTTGCCAAAACGATACGCATCATCAGATCATTTGGAGCAGGACTGTTTGACATTGACCTGTCACTGTTTGACTTGTTTGAACTCACTGACGGGTAGAAAACTTTTGACAATTGTTGGACATTGGGGAAACACGTTGGAGCAGGAGCCTTTGCTGGCCTTTCCACACCGATACCTACACCGGATGGGTTCCATTGAGAATGTTTCCAGACCGCTGGTTCCTGTCAAACCAGCAAAAAGGAAAGCATACTTGTCGCTAGCTACAATCATTTTGCACAAGCAGCCGACAGAGGCAACCGCTCGAGCAGTCAAGTTTTTGGTGAATCTTTGCCATGACCTGACGCCAGAAAGTGTACCACCGTTACCGTGGTTTGAGGGACCTGAACAGGTCGATGAAATTGATATGAGAGAACCTTCTACTCTTAGACAACTCTGCCCGACCATGAGATTCATGGCCAACCTGCGGGGGTAGCTGGAACCATAGAGAGCAGGCTTGGGCTTGGATGGCAAAATGTTGAGACCTACACGTTTGCTCGTCATGCTCTTACACGCTCTTCACTGGCTATGTAAGTTTTTGGAACGAGTGAACTTCCTAGGGTTCTTTTGATTCATCGTACAAGTTTCAGTTTGCAGCCATTTTTGGAGTTTATCTAGTCGGGTGAGATTCCTTCCAACAACCCAGTCCCAGGTGCCAACCTTAGCCTTGCAGCCGAAAGTTTTTTTGGGTGGGTTACCTGCCATGAAACAATTTGGAGGTGACCTTCCAACGCTTCCAACTTCTCGTTTTAGTTCCTGATGGACCAGGTTGGACCCTGTCCACAGCAATCAACTCGCTTGTTTCTTTTTGCTTGGCAGGCCATCGATGCACAGGTCGACCACCAACCTGCAGAGGTGGAGGATGGGGACTGTGTTTCTGTTATATTTTGATCACCAAAGAGTGGTTGATTCAGGGCACTTGGAGTGATGAGTCTCTAGATGAGATGTTCATGTACCCGACCGATGAGCTTGAAGACTCACAGGCCGGCCGGAAGGAAAATTAGTACAGGTTGCTTCATTGCAAACCCCTACATTAGCATGCCTTTTACTCTGTCACGTATTCAACATGTGGCCGCTCTGTTTGGAGGTGACCTTTGATGTCATTGCGCAAAGAAAGGCCCTGTCCGACCGGTGTCACATGTTCCATCATGATCAACCCCTCAAATGTGCTCGCGCAGGTCGTAAAGCGATTGTGGGAACAAATGGAAGAGCGCCGTGAGGCTGGTCCACCTAGCACTCTAGCTATTGACTGCTCTGGCCGGTCTGACTTTCCCACCCGCCCATGTCAGGAAGCCTTTGCTTCAAAGAAGCAAGCTCGCACGGGTCGCACCAAGCCTGGTGAGGAAATGCAGTGACAATTCAGAGCTTCAAATTAATTTCTAATTAGAATTGAAACCTTTCAGCTATTAATTAAAGCTGGACATCAAAGGTTTGCAAGACTTGGCACACGCTGGTCAAAGAGAACAAATGGGTTCTTTAGAGAATTGTGGAGTCGCAGGGGCATGTGGTGGCACATGAATCGTCATCGATATACATATTCACCATACTGCAAGTTTTTTGCCTTATATGCAGTCTGTCCTCACTGTCGTGTGAAAAATACGACTGTGACATGGGGAAGGGTACAGTGTCTCTTCGCGCCGCGGTGTCCCTGCTCGCCTCATCCATCAAGAAGCCTGACGCAGCAAAACCATGTTCCAGGCCAGGGGTTGGTAGCACTCCGTTATGTTGCAGCATGAGCCAACCCCGGGAGGCAGAAGGTGATCAAAGCTTCAGCCAAGAAAAAGCGGGAGCTTGAAACTGAGTGGCAGGTGGTTGCCAATAGATACAAAGTCAACGCCAACTTCTGATTAGACTTGAAATCCTGCCTGAGGCGCTTTTATCCAAAAACAACTGTGGCTGCCGCCCCAGAGGAGAGCCCAGTGCACTTCAAACAGATCGATGACATGTATAGGTGGCCAAAGATTTACTTGGATCAGCTGGCTGCTTGCTTTGGGGCTGGCTTTGTTGCTAGCCGGCTGGTGAAATGGAAGTGGAATCTCTCGACTTGCTTCAGTGGAGTTGGGTGCGCGGAAAGTGCCGGGCCCTCAACATAATGGCAAACATGTGGAATTTGCTAGAATTGGCTAGAGTCATAATCCGAAGTTCACAATAATATGATACCAAGGCCAACTAATAGGTCCAGGTGTAGTTCACATGTTTCATGGACCTGTGATCATTGGGTCCTTCTCCCCGTGGCAGCGTTCTAAGGCTGCCCTCTCACTCCAAACTGCAGCTAGGCGCTTTCTCAAGAAGCACCGCAAGATGTCCGCGATGGATCATGTTCGGATTACATCAGCTTGCGAAATCGACAAAGCATGTCAAGAAGTTCTTGGGGCCACATACGGACATTGCTGTTTCGAGGATATCGTAACCATGGATATGGGCAAGAAGGTATGCTATTGCACGACTCACAAGAAGAACTGCGTTTTGGAGCCTGATTTGGAAGACACAAACCGTACAAACCTGAGCCGCTCATTTCCGAACCACACTGCCCCATCCTTTAAGTCCAAAGCGTGACCTGGCCTCCAAGGCTTGAGGATCAATGTGTCCGGTTTGGGCCTCAATCCATCGTCAATGTGGTTCAACCTTGAATGAATGAAAGGAATCCCATTTGTGATCCAGTCCAGCTTGCACATCGATTTTTTGTATGCCTGAGTCTTTGGTTAGATTTAGATGTTTGTATCGTAGACGACTTGAAACCATAAGGGCTCCCATGCCCAGGCTCTTTGGTCATGACTCATGATGTCTATTTTGTGTCCCATCTCCTGCTCTGAGCTTCCCAGGCCCAGTCTGTGTGGACTACAGCCTGATGGGTAAGAGAGAGAAGGAGAAGGGGAAGTCGCAGGTTTGCCACCAAGCCTTCTACGACAATATGAAGAACAGCCAGAATTCAGTGGTTGTGGTTGAGAATGTTTGTGAATACGATGGAGAACGGATAGTCCAACAGGCTTTGGGCAACATTTGGAAACTGGAGGTGGTCCGAATAGACCCAAGGATTTTTGGGTTCGCTTCTGCACGTGCCCGGATGTACCTCGTAGCCTACCGCAGCGACAAACTGCGTTGGGCGGGACCTTGGACCCTTCAATCATTTGTTGAGATGTTGAGATCTCGGGTGGAGATGTCAGTGTGGGACTATTTCTGGATGAAGCTTCCCAAATCCCAGCTGAGCCAATCGAATGAAACTCGTTTGAACACTTAGAATACTTTAGAATGAAGAGTTGAAGGACACTAGTGAACGTAAGCTTTGGGCTAAGCGTCATCGAGCATTGTGAGGAACAGAACTTGGCTGACTACAACAAGTCATCGCGGACTTACATGGTTGCAGACCTGAACCAATATGCGGCCAATGGCCGTGGCAGGGGGGGAGACAAAGGATGATTGCCTCCCTACATTAACAACAGGATCAGGAAGGCTGTACAGCCAGGCCAGGGTGGGGTTGATCATAATTTAATAATACGTTGTTGTACTGTATTGTGTTTGCCATACAGAGCCCGCAAAACTCTCGGACAGACCTGATCCCATTCTGAGCCCCACGCCAGGAGAAGCGCCGTTTCCTTCACGGCACAGAGCTCCTCACCAGTCATGTTCTTCCATGCACAGATGAACATAGCAAGATTTGTGGTGCTCCAAAATTGGAGCTGCAGTCTATTGCCAATACCAACCTTGTTCGTATGAGTGGGAATGCAATGTCAATTCCTTGTGTAGGCTGCATCCTGTTAGCCTGTGCCCTATCCTTTCAGCCAAGGACCCAGCCGTGCAGGAACTAGGCCACTAGATTTGCTGGCTGCTTTAATTAATAAATTCATCTTTATGTGCTGCTTACGTAACGAGAACCCGCCTGAAGGTCAAAAAAGACTTGGTTCTGACACTTTCCAATCTGAAGTGAATCATGTTGAGTTGGCGTTGTATTAGAACCTGGTGTTCTGCCACGCTTGCATCGTGCTGTTTAAACTTAGCGGGATCAAGCCGGTCCTTTGGCACGATCCACAAAATGTCAAAGAAAGATCGGCCTGCAAAGGCCAGGAAACTCAGTGCTCCATGGGCGGAACTAATGATGGCTGACATTCAGCCCCTTGCCAAGAAACATGTTTCTTGTTACTTGGCTCTAGTTCAACTGCCAGTCCCGCCCTCTTTGTGAGGAATTTTGACCTGGACAAAGACGAACACCCTGTCAAGTTCGTGCTTGACAACTTGTCGACCAGTTTAATGGGAGCTGTGCACACATGGTTGGAAACAGTTTCTGGGGAGAAGTTTCCAGAGCCATCAAGCTTCACAGTGCCAGACTCTTGTTACTGTTCAAAATGCAATTGTTTGTTTCTTACTTGTTTTGACCCTGAACAAAAAGATCCTCCTCAATTAGCTCCTCCTTTCGTGTCGAGCCCAGGTACCAGTGCAGGTGGCCAAGGTTCCACTGCTTTCGATTTCACTGACAAAACCATCAGATGGCCTCCCCCTATACCAGTCATGGGTCAATGTGGCTTCAGATGTCTATTACAGCGGCTACGAATCGTGGCGGGGGGTCATCGAGGTGAAAGCGTTCGAGTCTCCAGGTTCCCAGCTCGACTTCCATAGCTTGCAAGCTACCAAAGGACTGGGGCGCTTGTCGGTAATATATTTTGGAATCTTGAGAACCTATTTGAAGCACCAGCACGATTTGACGGATGAGCAAATCAAAGATTTGAAGAGGCTGGACCACTAGCTTCCGGCTTTTTGGGAAGTACTCACATGGCCACCAAAAAGTGTCATTTGGGATAGTCTGGGTCGTCCTTTCTGATCAAAAATGAGAGGAACCAAAAGGGTGAGGGTTTGGTTGAAACCGTCGTCCTTAAGATATTGTGCAACCTAACCAGCAGCTTCCCAGATTTCACAGGCCCTTTCTGTCTGAGCCCAGAAACTATTTTGGGCTAGGCGTGTTATAGCTGGGGCCTAGGGGAAACATCCTGCAGAATATCTAAAGGGTGATGGTTTCACTGGAACCCTCGTCCTTTTCAAAAATATGCAAATCAACCAAAAAGGGTGACCCAGAATGTCTCCCAGCAAACTTTCCAGGGTGAGGGTTTGACTGAAACCGTCGTCCTTTAGGGATAGTGTGGGGGTCCATACCCACCAAACCCTCGTCCTTTAGATATTGTGGGGGGGGGCTTCACATCCACCAAACCCTTGTCCTTGATGATATTGTGGGGGTTGGTTTACAGGGTGTGGAGCTGGCCCAAAAGCGATTCACGAATCCATCTTGGACTACCCTTCCGGCCTGTCAACCTTGTGAAGCTGCTCAGCTCGGCGCCTGCGGAACACGCAGGTGGTTGGATTCGATCAAAGAGATGCACTGCGTGGTCGTTCAGGAACTTGAGGAGGTGAACTACGAATGGAGGAGGCTTCAAACTCATGAAGCCCAAGCTGAACGCCAAAAGAAAAATCTACTTCAGAAAGCTCTAGTGTTCCATCATCGAGCCCTGCAGCTGTCTCTGAACGACATGGGTCTCAAAGAGTTAATGTTTAATAACTGGCCCCTTGAAGTTGAATGGGGGTTATACCTGCAAGAACTTTTTCAAGATCGTTCCCACCAAATTCTGTCATCAAACACCATCAAACAACACACCCCTGCGGCAGGAACCCCACAAGTATGGAGGGTCTCAGGAAGCCATGAAGAGTGCATTTCTCCGTGGGATCCAGGAATACAACGACTATGGCACTGCATCGTCGAATCCAAAGTACAGAATAGATGAAGCTGCTGGACTACAGCTGTGGGGATTGAAGGTGGCTTCGACTAATTAATACCTCTGCTGTTACCGATCTCCGGTTGAGTTACCCCCCCCCCCCCGGACCAACCAAAAACGTTCTTCGACTTCTCGACGGCCTTCATCCAAGGTTGGAGTCTGCGACGATGTCTGGTGCTTGTTGGAAAGGCACCTTCACATGGTACGCTTTGAGAACTCAGGCCCTGTGCCTAAACAATTATCTCTCTAATTTTACTAAAAGGTTGCCTTCATTAGGCATCTTGCTGGCTGATATTTGGGAAAATGCTATTCTGGGGGTTGACACTACTTAGCGGAATTCTGTGGAATTAAGTCTCAGGTTGCTGAAACCATTGTTTTGTGCTGTTGGCCTCAACCCTGACAGCCTTGAGCAAAGAGTTGCTATTGGACGGGAGGTGGCTACTGGGCGGTGTCCCACGTATCAGCTGTGCCAGTTGGTGCCGCATTTTGACCATGACCGAGGAGAAACAACTGCTGTTCATGCATCGGGTCCTTCTTTTACATAGCATTTGCGCAAGGCGCGGAGGTCGGGGAGCAGCAACGAGGCTATCTCTCCAAGACTGGCACCACGAGGCCAACAGAATGTCGCTCTTTGCTCATGTCTTGGCGGCCATGCGGGAAGCCACCGCTGATGACGGCAGTCCTTTGTTTGAAGATGCCAACCTTGCGAAGCTGCTGAACCGATGCATCGAGGGGTGCTGCTGGCTGGCCATTGTGTGTGTGTGTAGTGCTAAGTGTTGTGTGGGGGAGTGCAATGTTGCAAATAGTTTTCTCACCCGTTCGGAGCACATAGAGAGGCAGGTAGTTTCAATCTAGGAAATTTTGACCGCACGGAGGCCCTACTCAGGACAAGACTGGGCACGAACAGGAAGGGATGGGGGAGAGGGAAACAAGTGGGTCTTGCAAGATACAACAATAACATGTGGCGAACTGTTTTTGTCATGTGCTTTTGGCCAGGGACTTCAACAACGAAGCTGATGAAGCCTTGTCGATCAAGGATCCAACGTTTCAGCCACAGTGTTTATCACTTTGGCAAGAGAACGTATCACCTCCCAAAGCAGACGCGGCCTTTGCAGCCGCAGAGAGGCAGTTAGCGGTGCTCAACACTGACGCACGCAAAGCAGCGTGGGAGCGAGACAACTTGGTCCTAGCCAAAGACATAGCATTGGTCGGCCAACTATTCCAACAAGAATCAAAATCACAACGCGCTGAACGTACCCAACGGGTGGTTCACGTGCGAGCTCAAAATGTGATCGGTGCATCTATTGTCAGTAACTTTATGTCCAACAATGTGGCCTTCCTGTGTGGCAAGAGCCATGATCTCGCTGGCAGGGTGGACAAGGCCAATATTCCAAAATAGGGCTGGGGGTGGGTGGTGTGTCAGTCTGTTTCCATGCTCCTACCAAAAGACATGATGGCCTTCGGCATGCCCCACATGATCAAAAAACAGGTTTTAATGTTCAATGCTCACACCCTTCAGTTTGCGGATGAAGCTACCAGTGGGGGAGGTGGACTACTGGTCTGGGCTGACCTGACGAAGATGGGTCGTATGTCAAGCAATGACCTGAACTATGTCGTAGACACGATGGCTACCGCTTTGAGCAAACGGCCAACCAACAGCATCGGGTTTATAGTGGCACCATGGCTGTCATCAGAAAGAATCGTGAATGCTCAGCGAGGCGAACGAAGGTCACTTGATTCTAGTTCAATTTTATTTTGATCTGTTGTTCAGTGTCCGTGTGTGTGTGTGTCTGTCACACCCTGGGGGGAGGGGAACCTGTCCCGGCAACTGTTGGTTGGTACAAACCAAGGCGGGTGGAGGACAAGTGTGACGCCCGCAACCTGATGACGGCTATGATTACGGTCAGAATGCAGCCACCACCACAAAGCAAACATGTGCCAATGATCTTCCATGCTTGGGTTGTATTTGACGAATCATCCTTTGGGGACAACATCTTCAACGAATGTGCTCTGATGCTGGACAGGCAAGGTTCCAATATCAGTTGAACCTGTTGTTGTCTTTAAAGTGGTTATGTACTGGGCCAACTTACGATGGGTTCATAGGGTGGTGTTTGGCATTAGATGAATCACAGGCTCCCTTGTCGCTACCTGTTGCTTTGCCAAACTGACCATAGTTCAGGAGCCCCCGCTCTTTGCTGGCATGGCTGCCAGAATCCTCCTACATCATTCCAAATGCCGAGAGGGACTCCCTCCCTCGGTCAGCCGAGTCCAGGCACCTTGCACAAAAGAACAGTGTTATTATTTTATAGTAACTTTGAACCTCCGGAAGATTAGTGGAATAGCATGGAATAATTAACTGGGTCCTGGGCCTTGGTGGTTTTCATCATTCTGGAAACTACCCCACCAGGTCTATGTCGGAGGTGCAAGAAGGGGCACAACTGCTCGCGGGGAAGGATTTTCCTACCGCTATCTTCACTGGAATCATTGAAAAGTCCAAGCTCAAGGGCAAAGTCCTTGGGGTTCTGAACACAACCCCATATGACACATGGCTTGAAACAACAGCTATGGATTGGTCAAAGGATCATCCGGGGTCAGTTGCAATGAAGAGCTTGAGCATTGCTGAATGCAAGACCAGCGGTGTTGTGGACTACTGTGAGAAGGTCATCGCAATGAAACTTCTTGAGGCTCTGATACGGTCTGTCAGTTGTGTTTTTGCTTTTGATGGGCGACCTTAAGACTACCGAGACATACCGAGACACACTGACCATCCCAAACCCACCCAAGCCTGCACGATGCACTTGTTTGCCAATGAATCATGCATCCAACCTGCAGGATTGGAAGCTCAACAAGCATGCCATGGGATCAGTTCGGGCATACGATCCCAACCCTCCCAAGAATGATGCCGAAGTGGACATTTCAAAGTTCGAGTTCAAGCATGTTCAGTGCACTGTTCAGCCCAATGGTACCGGATGGTCTCGATACAAGATAGTGCTACCAGCCAGTGTCCGGCAGCTCTATGCGAACGACGTTGTGTACGGCCCGGAATGGCGTGAGCTTTTGTCCGACTTTGATCGAAGGCCCTCGAACTCAAAACTATGTTGTTGAATTAGACCAGTGCAATGGGCCCTTCCCAAAATCTGAAACACATGCCATGATGATTATTGGGTCTGAACTGAAGTGCAACACCGTGCAACACACTCTCCAGGTTTGGCACCACGGCCTCAGAAGCTCCAATCGCGCCACCTCCAGAGCCTGAACCAGAATTGCCAGTGACTCTATGGAGCGGAGAGCCCACGACAGTGGATGAAATCTTGAATCAGTACTATGTTGAGGCAAAAATATCAGGACGGACGGCTGGAACAACATTTTTTGTTGTGGATGCAAAAAGGAGGACTTCAGGTGTCCTCGATCAAGTCTCCGAGCATCAAACCTTGAAACTCTTCATGGTTACTTGATCGACTAATTGACCCACTTCAACAAATCAGTTGGCATCTAGAATAAAGTCGTTTTGAAGGTGTCAAAACAACTCGATCAAAATCAGGTTGCACACGCCACCGTCACCATCCCGGACAGCGAATTCATTCTGGCTCATGGAAGCAGCCGGTGGATCCGAGGAGAAAAATTCATGGAAATGAAACGGAAGGGCTTAGGCCGGGCCTGTTCGTCTTGAAGTTGGCATTGAGCAAATGTTTGCCCAGCTTCAGCACCTTGAGATCACTCTGGCATCAACCTTCTAGGATCAAGCTTCTAGTGGTGTAGGATAGTTTGTAGGATATATTCTACTTAGTTCCATTGCTGATATGCCGTCTAACATCTCTGACCTTCTTGCGGCCCACGGCTTTGATCAGGACTGGTGTTGACAGTTGACACCAAAGACCAGAATCTTCCGAATCTTCAATGAATTGAATGTAGAACACAACCTCCCCCTTACCAATAATTGATGTTTCCAGGACTTTGCCCGTTTGACCACTGCTGATGCTGGTGCAATTCAAACCCCACCATGCAGAACAGCCCCACACTTAGTTTGTTCACTGTATTCCAACAATCCCAGTATCCTTGGATTGCCCTCTGCTTTCCCAGCTTGAGGCCTATGCCTCTCCAAGCTCTGGGCAAACAGGCTCTCCCCAACCTGTGCCGGCTGTGAAGGCCACTCGAGGGTCGGTCACAAAAAGAACCATATACTTGGGTCTGCTTTGCAAAAAATGCAACATGTTTAAAGGTAAGACTAGTGAGCGCTAAAAGTCGTGTTGCCAGGAGGCATCAAAGTCCGTGGCCAAAGTGTTGGCACTAGCAGACAGTGAACCGAGCCCACTGCCAATGACTACTGCGGAGTCCAACAGCAACACCAACCCTACCCTAACACCAGACAAGATTGCGGAGTTGGAAGCAGAAGTGAAGGCAGCTCAGACCAATTCCAAGATGAAGAGAGCTGCTGCTCCAGGAGTGGACCCGGAAGTGAAGGAGGCAAAGAGACATGAAGTGCAGGAGGAGGAGAAGAAACCAAAGACAAATGCTGCAAAGAACCAGGAGAAACCAAAGGCCTCAAAGAAAGACGATGAGCTGGCTGATGCTGAAGCGGAGGAGGAGGAAAATGAGAATTATGATGGAGAGAGCTTTGAGGACGAGCCAGCCAAGAAAAAGAATGGCAAGCAACCTGGATCAAAGCAAGGCAAGGGTAAAGGCAAGGGTGGTGCCAAGCAGGCAGCCAGGCCGAAGAAGGCGGCCAAAAAGAAGCCTGCAAAGAATGACATCGAGTATGAGGACAATCCTCTTGACTCAGAAGAGGATCTGTCTGCCGAGTACGTGGATGATGCTGGTGATGATGAAGATTCATTCGGCCTCCCCAAGGATCAGTCTGTGAAAAACCCACAGCAGAAGCAGCAAAGGAAGAGGAGGGGGAAGGTTGCACATGGCCAGAATCCTAAGGGGAAAGCAATGAAAAGACTTCGCAGGGCCAAGAAGCTTGGGAAACTTGCAGCTACAGCTGCTGCTGCAAACATGAATCGTCCGGAGGCACCTGAGACAGGTGACAACGTGAAAGCTGAGAAGGGTGCGAAGAAGGGGAAGAAGCATTCCGATGGCGAAACCAAGCCCAAGATTTCCCGGGCAAAGCAGGCTCGTGCTGGAAGTTTGGAGAAGAGCAAAACCAAGGCCAAACTTT